GCTTTATAACACTTTATAGGATGCTTTTCATTCATGGCTCTCAGAGCACTTTACTACAGTGGAAAAGTGTCATTGCATCCATTCTTTAGGGAAAATCATGTGTCAAGTCAGTACAAGTACAGCTGGTCAAAAAAAAAATTCTGTCAAAACTGGTTTTCAATGGAAACTTTAGTTTTTGACAGAATGAACCTTTTGAAGAAGTGTCATCTTTCTCTGGAAACGTTTTGGGTTTTTTCCCCTTTCCCCCATCAGATGCCCCAAAATTGAAAAGGTTTTTTTTGTTTGTTTGTTTTTGGCTGTAAACTAAATTATTTCAGTTTGGATATGTTGCCTTGGCATGAATGAGCGTTTGGTTGCAGGCTCCATTCTCCTGCCTGGGCTGGGTTCTTCAGCTAAACTTCATCTCCTGCAATGCACTGTGGCCATGGGTCTTCCTTGCAAATCTCTGAACAAAGTCCAGCTCTCTTGTCTCCCAGTCCTTCATCTTTGCCGCTCAATCACGGTGCCTCCAACTTCGGAATAAAGTGGGCATTGTTAGAAGGAACAGAAAAAAAGAGACTACTAATTGCCCTACGCACTCTAGCCTGGGTAATGAACAGGTCATCTAGGATGAGTTTGTTTGAGCCTAATAGGCAGCCTCCCTTTAGTGCTCTGAGCACAGGGGTATAGCTGGCCATGTAAAATATATATCAGACTTGCTGTTCCATTGGCCTCTTCTTTGTAGCAGGCCCAGAAGTCTCCTCAGGTAAAGTCACCCTTGCACACAATATGATCAGTGACACGCATTTGGTGCCGTTAACTGGAAAGACCTGTTAATTATATAAATGTGATCTAAGTCTGTCCATTATTCTGACAAAAATAATGAAAAAACTTGCCAGTTGCAATACAGACTATTGCTTCTTGGAAATTAAAGGTTTTATTTGATGGGGGTGTACATCCACCTACACCCATGCTGCCCAGGAAGATGACAAAACCCTGAAGCCCCTCTGAACACATTTTCTCCAGCCTGGGGATCAGTTTAGCCATGGCAATTCCTGTTAACATGGTTAAGCATCTCCTTACATTATGCCCAAGACTTCATCAGTATCTAAGTACTGTAACAGGCCACGGCAGCTGGAGCACTGGAAATTGAAGCTGTTAGCTTTTGATTGGAAAGAGTAGCAGCTCCAAGGCACAGTCTCACCTGTGAGTGGTTGGCTGCCCTTGGACAGCAGCAATTTGTGACTTGAGCTGCAAGTCTGTTTACGGGCACTTCAGCAAGAAATCTCATTTTGTTTTATCAGGAACAATCTAAGATAAAATGAGGCAAGCAGTGAAAAATAAAGCCCAAAGCATTTCCCCTCTTAATTCAGAGATCCTCCACCAAACTGTGATTTTCCACACTCTAGTAACAATCAGGTTGCTACAAAATGGGAATAAAGTTTTAATATCTTCCTCACAAGGATCTCATAAAGCAGGCTGATTGGGGTATCTCTCAAAGAGGTGCATCCACTTATGGGATGCCAGTGATGTGTAGTCACTCTGCACTCCTCTATTCAGTGTGTAGAGTCCCTCTGGACATGTATTGCTCATCAGTTTCACTTCTAACTTTAGTGTCCCTCTCTCGTCCTCCTATAGAATCTGTTGATATGCGCACAGAGATGCTACAACCATAACAGGTGCCTTAGAAAAACCTCAGCTAGGTGGGTCACTGTGACTTCGTGACCCTGGATATAGCAAAACTCCAGTTGTAGTGAAGGAGAATGAAAGATCTGACTAATTTCAATGCATTACAGCAGGGCTTCTCAACACGTGGCCCGTGGCCCATTTGTTTGCAGCCCGTAGTTCAGTTTGGGTATATGCGGGGCTCAACATGTGGCCCGTGGGTGGGATCTTTTGAACATGGCCTCCATGGGGAGCATGCTCCACAACGGCGAGGTGTCTCCCAGGCGGGGGAGCATTGAAAGACACAAGAGGATGGGCTGGCTGGAACATATGGGTACAGGGAGGAGGTGCCATGAGCACTGGGACATTGTGGGAAGTGCTGGCTGCTTAGCCTGGTGGGCAGAGCCTGAGGTGTGCTGATTGGCTTACACTGGCAAAGCTTTGGGTCCAGCGCCCTGGCTTAAGGCTTAATCGTTGTATTTATGCCTATCAGTGTGAAAGGAGCTATGTGCATATATATTTGCATGTATATACAACCACACTTAAGTTGCAGCTCTCGCAGTGGTGTAGCGAGGGGATGTTGGGGGGGGGGGCAGTTGCCCCCAGGTGCCACGCTGGGAGGGGCTGCCAATTTAGTCCCCCCTCCCTATCATCTCTCAGCTTGCCTGCTCCTCCTCCGCCTGCCACCACTTTCTGGAGCCTCCTCCCTTCCTCTCCACCCCCCAGCCTGACTCTCCTCCATCTCCGCAGGTTAGTGCGTGCATGTGGGGGCCCGGCTCCAAACTGGAGTAGGTGGGGGAAGATGCGGCACAAGCTTCCCTCCACCCCCAGGGTCAGGCTCAGCCATGTGCCAGGTTCGGGGACACACTGCGCAGCAGTGGGGCGCAAATTTTGCCTTTGTCCCCGGGCGCATAGCACCCTCGCTATGCCTCTGGGCCCTTAGCATGTGCTGTGAGTATCATTGTGGCCCCCAGGGCTTCCAAAGTTGAGTAGCCCTGCATTACAGTGTGCAGACAGCTACTTATAGCCGAGGGAGACCCCACCAAGCATGTAAGTCTTCTGTAGGGATACAAAAATTATTCCTCTGTGAACCCTATCCTGAAAAACTGAGTAACCCCCCCCGATTAAAGCACAGCAAAGCTGCAGAAGAGATGGATCCTCATTTCTCAGCCCAATGGCAATCATAGGGCCTGGTATGTATATTCAGCCAACTCACTGATGGCTTGTACTGGGTGTAAGGGCTGTGGGAGGCGAATATTGAATGCATGATACTTTAGAGTTTTAAAGATGTTTAGAGGTGTGGCCAGTGCAGTCTTTACTTGGACAAAATATGATAATGTTGATCCAGATGGCCTGTTTCAAGTACGATTTAGCACTAGTGCCTCTGAAACCTGCTGGGATCGCAAGTAATAAGGCTTATGAATTAATTTAGCCAGGAAAAAAAATGGCACAAGATAAGATGCTATTACAAGGTATGCATTCTCCCTTAACAAGAGAATGTGATCACAGGTGGATTTCATAATGGGCTCTGCTCATCACTTCATTACACAAAAGCTATCATCCCCATTCAGTGTAATGAAGTTTCACTATTCACTTCACCCTTTAGAAGCCTTCTGGAAATTAGGTTTCTTGTAAAGCTCTGCTGCTTTATCTGGGAGCTAAAAAGGGTACAGAGAACTAGTTAGGAAAAATGCATTTTAAAAGGAAATTGTTACGGTCAATAAGCCCCAAACTCGACTTTTGTCTCATCTTGTTCTTTTCTATTCTTACATGTGATTTCCCCCCTGCCTCTGTTCTGCAAACAGTGCCAACTTCCCATTACTGAAGCAAAGCACCCCTAAAATCTACACCACACTACTGGCTCTGGTTTAATTTTCATGAATCACTCTGCAAAAACAAACAGGGGCTCATAGCCAGCCCTCCTTAACAGGATAATCTGAAAGTGCTTTACAAGGATGGATAAATAGAATTGTCTCCCTTTCACGTGAGGAAACTGGTGTTCAGGGTTCACCTTTTCTCATAAGTGAGGCAATGGTGCAACTGGAAACAGTATCCAAATCTTCAGGCACGGGGTGCTATCTATGGGTCTATGGTATCTCCCTCATGAGTCACTGTGACCTTCTGGAGGGAGCTAGAAATTGAGATCTTCTGAAGGGAACCCATCCCTAACACCTTACCAGACTCAGGGTATGTCTACACTACCCCCCTAGTTTGAACTAGGGGGGGGTAATGTAGTCATACGGAGTTGCAAATGAAGCCCGGGATTTGAATTTCCCGGGCTTCATTTGCATAAAGCTGGCCGGCGCCATTTTTAAATGCCGGCTAGGTCGGACCCCGTGCCGCGCGGCTACACACGGCATGGACTAGCTAGTTCAGATTAGGCTTCCTATCCGAACTAGCTGTATGCCTTGTGGAATGTGTACAGCTATTTTGGATTAAGAAGCCTAATCCGAACTAGCTAGTCCATGCCGTGTGTAGCCGCGCGGCACGGGGTCCGACCTAGCCGGCATTTAAAAATGGCGCCGGCCAGCTTTATGCAAATGAAGCCCGGGAAATTCAAATCCCGGGCTTCATTTGCAACTCCATATGACTACATTACCCCCCCTAGTTCGAACTAGGGGGGCAGTGTAGACATACCCTCAGAGAGGCGATTTACCTGAGATCACAAGCCTAGTCAATGATAGAGCTGGGAATAAAATACAGCTCTCCTGACTCCCAGTCCAGTGCCCTGTCTACCAGACCATGTGGCCCCCATCCATTTGGCTACTGATGAAATTCCTAAAAAGGTCTGGGTAAGTTTGGACCCAATATTTTAGCAGCTGTTTAGGCTTAAGTAATAAGTGTTACAAAATCTCATTCTTCAAGATGTAAGATGATGATCTTGCAGTCAAGGCACCAGATTCCGGTTCCTGGCTTTGAATATCACCACACCTCATTTGCATACTTAATGAGCTGCCATTTTTGCACACGGGGCTTTTGCGCAAAAAGGAGCCATCTATACGGGTCCTTTTTGCACAAAACCCCCCTCTTGCGCAATAGCCGTTCTGCCACTTTTTTTTCAGGAAGAACGGCTCTTGCACAAGAGTGGGGTTTTGCACAAAAAGGAGCAATGTAGATGGCTCCTTTTTGCACAAAAGCCCCTTGTGCAAAAGTGGCGGCTCATTAAATATACAAATGAGGCGTACCGATATTCACTGCTTTGTCTCATTTGCATATTCTCTTGCACAAGAGGGAGCAGTCTAGATGTACAGTGTTCATGTCTGGATGTGTGGTTTTGGCCCTCCTCTGACAATTCAGAACAGAGGCCTTGGGATGGTAGCAGGTAGTGCCAAATGCAATTCTTTTTGTCTCGGCAGTGCTATCCCTGTAGAGGACCCTGACCAGGACAAATTGAAGAATGAAGAAGATTCAGTGGAGAAAAGTAGTGAAGAGCCTCTCTCAGTGCCCAAGGGGGAAAATGCTTCTCGCTCAAAGCTAAAGCTGTAAGTAGCTGTCCCAGGGAAGGCTGCTCACTACAAAACCAGGAATCAGCTGAAGCATCTGCAGATGCATTCAGTAAAGTCCCTGTTAGCTGCTCTCTATTGAACACTTTTTTTTTTACACAAAGGGCTTGGTCTTTAGAGAAAGGCCATGGGTGTGATTTGTTTTGCAGGCCTCCTGGGGTTTCTGCTAGTTCTTCTCTAATCCTGATCATAAAACTACATTTTTTAAAAATTGGTGCAGGGAGAAGCTACGGAAAGGATTGATGTCTTTTTAGATTAAGATGCATCTCTCTTCCTCCACTTAGGCGATAACTTGCTATAGCAGGAGTGGCAAGTTTAATGGAAAGAGCAACTCTGTAATTCAAACCTTCCTTAAAAGTGCTCAAGGGAATGTGGTGATGCACAGAGATCCTCAGGAAGACTTGCCCTCTGTTCTTGGTGCCTGTACCGCTATGTTAGTGAAGTTGAACTTTTAAACACTCCTTGTTTGGACTGAAGAGGGACTAGATCAGGGCGGGGGGGAGGGGTCTCTCCTTTGCGTCCTCTTCACCCACTGATTCCATTTGGATTTCATGATATCGTTTGGTACGTCTCAGCAGTTGCTGACTTTAGAACAGTGACCATGGAACTGAGCTAGGATCAGATGCTTTACTTGTGGGAGGCAACGTAATGGAGCTTTGGAAGCCCAGAGCAGTATTCTGTCATTGGGCCCAGTTCTGCCCTCAGTTGTTCCCACTGAAGTCAATGGGCTTGCATCATAGCAAGAATTGGCTTCAATCCTCTCTCTAATTATTTCCACTCATATGCAGAATTTTTTTCTCAGCTATGCATGGAATAATTTTTTTTATGTGCACTGAGGCATGTGTGACTTTCTCTAATGATGGTGCACAAACCTAGCTGCTAATCAGCTGGGTGGTAGCTGACTCTCTCCTGAATAGCTACACAAGCACAGAGCTTACAGGAAACACTGAATGTGGGTTCATTGATTTCATGGGTTGTTCTCTGAGCCATAATGAACCATGGCCACATAGATCAACAGACGCTGTTGTCATGAACTGGAAATGAATCTGGCACCTTCAGCACATAAGCATGGATTTCAAACATGTTAGCTGAAAGAGAACCCTTGTAGTCGTGAAATATTAGGAGACTCCATAATCACTGAACTAGCCAGTGGAAGAAGACATCTCATGCATTAGACTAGTGCAATATGCTGAGATATTATGGCGATGGGCATTTTAGAAATATGATGGCTGGTACTGATGGCAGGATGATTGTGGGGATCAGTTAGGAATGATGAATGTTTTCCTAATATTTCAGAAGTGCTGGATGGTCTGATGAGTTATCTTGGTGTTTCAGATTAATTTACCATCAGTGGCTTCCATAACTGTGATTGCCCAAATTCAAATAAATGAAAAAAAGTTTATTTGACGTCTTAACATAATTTCCATGCCTGTCCATCACTCAATTGACTCAGCATTCAGCATAAATATATGATCTGCTTAGGAGAGGTCCATCAACAGAGTTAATAAAGGGTAAAACAGGTCAGGTGTACGGCACACTGAGGGTTTATCTACACTATGGAATAAGGTCGAATTAAGATACGCAATTTCAGCTACACTAATTGTACCTTAACTCAACTTTTGGTGCTGTCCACACTTTAGGAAGTCTTTGAGAAGATCAAAGCTGCAATTGTCAATCTTCCAGGGTTCAAATTAGCAGGTCTAGTGAAGACATGCCAATTCTAGTGAAGACATGCCTGAGGGGCACTCTGGTAGATTTATGGAGCTATGAGTGGGTGAGGAAAGCCCGCAGAGAAGTGGAGAGGGCCCATGCTCCTGTAGTTCAGCTGACCAGTACATCATCTTTTAGATATTGGACCCTTATATTTCTTATTCTGATTGATTACATCTGTCATGCCACAGTAGGCCATATTAAAACCTGACTGACGTAAAACAGACTGGATAGTCATTCCTGGGAAATTTTAAAAAACATGCTTTCCTGAAAGGAGAAAAATAGAACTGTCTTGTGGAAAGCCACTTGCAAATTAATTCTGTTTAAATTATGATGCAGTTTTCTTAGTGTTTTCACAATAAGGAGGCAAAGGGAATCTGAATTTTTACCTGTGAAGCCCTTAATAAGTGATGTGTCTGGAGAAATATCCACCTCATCTGGAAAATGCAAGATGGCTTATCTTAGATTTAGAGGGGTTTTGTCTAAATTGTAGGCACCCTAAATATGTAGAACCTTTTCAGTCAAACACCATTAAGGTCCTGAAGAAGGATAAGAAATTCTTTACAGTGGCCCATGGGATTTAATGAGGAACAATGGGATGAAAGTGAAAAAGATAGCATGTAGGGTGATTATTAGTAAAAAAAAAGTCCTCCCAGTGAGGTCTCAGATTGTAGGATAATCTGCCTGGGATAGAAACTCTATCCCTTGAGTAATTTAGAACTAGCCTAGGCAAAGCAATTGACTGTGTGTACCAGAGAACAGCTCTGGGTGAATAGGTGAACATGGTCATACAATGGACCTTACCCAACTCTAAATTTCTGTGGGCTAAATTCCACTGACATTTGCCAGTGAATCTCTAATTGGACACAACTGGAATCTGCTCATGTATATACATCAGGCCAGAATTTTAGCCCACAAGCCTATCAAAGCCTAAAATGAGGTTTCAGAGGCTGAATTCTGCTAAAAGGGCATGTCTACACTGCCCTACAAGTTTGGATTACAATATGAATAGCAGCATGTACCAAAATGTAACTCCTCCTGTAGCTGCTGTGGGCCCAAATGTGCATATCCTTAATTCATGCTAATGTAATCCTCCTCAAATAGGACTAGTTGATTTAATAGGCAATTCTCTGGTATAATGGAGAGCTAAATTCAACCTTATGTTTCTGCTTTGGTTTGTGTATACTTTGCACCAACCCTTCCAGTTAAGACTAATCTATTACCCTCCTATCTTCTAATCGGTGCTCCATTGGGTGTATATATTAGTCTTAGATGTGTTGGGTCAAGTGAAATAAGACATAATTAGGACTGTCTTGGGCATTTAAATGGGTTAGCCCATTTCTAAGGGGTCTTTTAAAATATGTATATTATCTTTATACATGGCTGAACTGTGCTTTTCTAAGACACCTTTATTTTTCCCATGTGAAATATTTAGGATCTGATTTACAGGTACTTGTGGTAACCTGCCCTCAAGTTACAATACACCTTACCCTCTTCCTTTTCCTCTCTCTATTTTCCTTATTAGACTAAGGACTTTGACAGCCATTAAGTGCATCCGTTCAATGCAAGAACAGAAGCAGAAGAAAAACCAAAAATCTCAGATAGCACAAGCAAAAGGGAACAGAAAGAACAGTGAGACCAGTAAATAGACACCTCACGGATCAATTTCACACCGACAGAGACATGGCCAAAACTATTTAAACTTACTCTGCCATTTTTTCCAATCTGTTATATTTTGATTGCTAATAACCAGAAATATTTACTTTTCAAATCTGAATATAAAATTGCAGTCAGCAAGTGCGTCTTTGTTTGCTTAGTCCTGTTTTCTTCAATTAAAGAAAGTTTACCCCATATACAATGGTCCTGATGACAGCATAACTCCTGGAGAATCCCAAAAGAACAATAAAGAAACCAAATAATTGAGTGTCTGCTTTAGCCAGTGTCCAAAGACATTCTAGAATGTCTTTGCAATGGAGGTAGGAGAATGAGCCGAAATTGAACAAGCCCAGGTGAGCCAGGAAGATGGAGAAATCTCTGTGGTAAGTTCGAGTATCTGAGTTTCTGGAGGCTTACAGTAAAGGTGCAAGAAGCAAAAAGGAGAGGATAACAGCCTGTTAAGATAATGCTCTGGCAACCAGCTTGATCGTACACTAAATTCTACATGACTGGAGAGGCCCAGGATTGGGATAAACAAGTGGTGCTGAAAAAGACTGAGGTGCACTTGGCAGAGCTGTGGGATCGCCAAAAGAAATAGGAATAAATCAGGTCCGGACTGAGAGATTTTGACAGAGGTGCTCCCAACTGAAAAAGAACTGAGTAAGATACAGGTCAGGAAATACTGCAAACCCTTCTGCCAGGTGAAGCCAGGAGCTGCCAGGCCTGGGCTCAATATCTAGGAGTTCCTCTCCATCCATTCAAAACAGAACCGGTTTGAGCCTCCACCCACTAACCACCCAAGTAGGTTGGGCAATGTCCTTTTCCTCTCCAGTTCTTATAGGCTATTTCGAAATTTGGTGCTGTCTACACAGCACCAAATTTCAAAATGAAGTGCTATTTGAAGACATCCCTTAACCCTCTTGGAATGAGGGTTACCGCGATGCTAAAATAGTGCTCCCGTTATTTCGAAAAATATTTTGAAATAACAGGTGGCCTGTGAAGACACAAAGTAGCTATTTTGGGATACCGCTGGTATCTCGAAACAACTGTGATGTGTAGACATACCCAGAACGTCCCCTTTACATGCCCAACCCTTCTCTGTGCCCTGCTGACAGTCACTGTCCTTGGTCAGGGCAGATCCAGAGTTCAGAGGTGCATCCGCAGAGTTCACCTCCCATCCTGCATGGGGGGAGGTAAAGAGGTGTCTTACTCACTCTGCTATCACTTGCAATCCTCCTGCTCCTTTCTGCCATCCTGCTGGCCATTAATCTCACCTCTTTGTCATCACCCTGCTGGCCTCTCATTGTGCCATGGCTGTTCTGCTGACCAGTCATCACATCCATTGCTGCCCTTCTGGCTCTCAGTCACCAGCGGCTGCCATCCACTTTCTGGCTGTGATTTCTGCCTATCAGTCTCAAGTGATTTTAGCTCCCAGTGATTTCAACTCTTAGCAAGCTGGGCAGAAGAAAAAACTCCAACACCAACAACATAAGAAAGAGGCACCTAATGATGCCTATATAGCTCTGTTCTTCGAACAACAGGGGGGAATAGAGACGCCCCTTCCTGGACTAGGTTGATATCTACCCTCCTGACCAGAACAACCTTCCATCCCCCTTCTCTGACTGCTAAAAGTCAAGCCCCACATTAGAAAGGTTCTTTCAGGTAACTGTGCTCGTTTATTTGGAACAATTTAGCTCAGTCCTACTTTTCTGTATTCCAACAAAATTGCAAACATTGGTAACCATATTTTAGCTGCACTTGATACAAACATAGCTGGTATCAGGTCACAAATTAAGTTGATTACAATGAGCAAAATACCACTTTATCTGCTGAATATCTAACACATTTAAGCAAAGCAGGAGCAAACCATATTTACATGGACATAACCAGGGTTTCTCCCCACTTCCAGATAGCTGTAAGGGATCCATTCTTTTAGATCCTGCTTACAGGATATTGGCAGAGAGTCGGGTTGCCAGGTGTTCAGTATTGACCCGGACAGTCCAGTATTGACCCGGACAGTCCGGTATTTTTGCCTCCTGTCCGGTAAAAAAATTCAGAAAATGTCAGACCTGAGATGTCTGGTATTTTCTGGGTTTTTTTCCCTGCCAGGAGGCGAAAATAACAGACACCTGGCAACTCTATAACACACTAAGCGGGAGGGGGAGTGTTCGGTATGCTTGGTTAAACCATCTGGCAACCCTAGCAGAGACACTTCAATGTATCTCCAGGCAGCTCCAACCAGTGGGCTTCTGCTATGGAGCATTGTGGACAGAATTTAAAGCTGCAGGAGTGAATCTGCTCCAATGTCTGCAGATAAAAGAAGGACATCAGGGAAAAGCACCCAGGGGAGTGTTTATCTACAGTTAAAAACAAAAACAAAACTGCACTGATGTACTGCCTTGATGTTTAAATATGTATGGGGACTTAATGTTGTAAGATACTTAGAGAGGCAAGGTGGACGATGTCATATCTTTCATTGGACCAGCTTCTGTTGGTGAGGGAGACAAACTTTTAAGCTTACACAGAGCTGAAAAAGAGCTCTGTGTAGCATGAAAGCTTGTCTCTCTCACCAATAGAAACTGGTCCAATGAAAGATATTATATCACCCACCTTGTCTCTCTAATATCCTACAACAAAACTGTAGTGGCATTTAAGGCAGACTTCTTTCCTCATCAAAACCTACAGACAGGTTTTTCTCCAGCACATTTTGACAAACTCATGGGCTTCAAGGGACACAGCAGCCTTGAAGCAGCAAGCTCAGAGTCGGTCACAGCTAGCAAACCACTGAAATGTCTGCACATGCCAATATTTCTTGAGCACTATTTGTTGTTTGGTTTTTATTCATACACTAGCCAATTAGCCCATCATAAGATGGGATTTTCAGGTCTCTCCTCCACATCCTATTCCCTTTCTATCTCGATCTTCTCTCCTGAGCCTCCTGTCTCTCGTTCCGTCTCACCCTTTTTCTCCTCCTCCTACTGCCTCCCCTCCCTCTCAGCTTTCCTCTGCCTCCCTCTTTCTCTTCTCCCCCTCCTGCTTCTCACTCTCTCTCCGCTCTCCTCCATTCTCCTCTCGGTCTCCTCCACTCTCCTCCGCCATCCTCTCTGTCTCCGTTGGGGATGCACGCTCATCCAGGCCCCGCCCCCAGCCATGTACATCACCACCCTGCCCCCCTTTGCCTCCCACCGTGACGCTCGGCTGATTTCTGCGCCACTCAGCTAGGCCGTCATGTGGGAGCAAGCGGTGCAAACGGACGTTTGGGCTCCATGGTCCCCATGCAGCACCCCTGTGCTTCCGCTTGCTCCCCTGTGGCGGCCCAGCTGAGCAGCACAGAAACCAGCTGAGCACCACGGCAGGAGGTGAAGGATATGACTCAGGCAACAGCACCGCCCAGAGGGGAACAGCCAGCATTTCAGCATTACAGAGTCAGAGACATTGGGCTACTATGTATATGATTTGTTATGAACATCTGTCCAGATAATGGGTAATAGAAAAATCTTGGTGCTTTCATTTAGGCACACAATCTGGTGTGGCACTTCAACGATTAGCTTTGTATACATATAAAAAAAATACCGTCATCCTGTTGAGATGATTTCTTTTATGGGAGTCCATCATTTTTGCTATCGCATGAATGCTTGTCTTATTGGATTTGAATTGCCTAGTAGATCACCACGAATTAAACAGATCTGAATTTCTCTCTTGTATTAAAGTGTCCTTTCACAGTCTCCTAGTATTGCCCATTTGTCTAGGAGTGAAAGGATTAAGAAGGTATCTTCA